CACACGTCCCTGCCTCATTTGCGAGGCGGCCGAGGGCAAATACAAATGTGCTCAATGTAATCTGTACACGTGAGTGTGATCCTATATCCAACCTTTAGAGACTTTTCTGACCCATGACATAGATGCTCGCTCACGTGCTTTCAAGAGCATCGTGACAATCATCCATCTGAAGAATCTTCTATGAATCCAACAGAGGATGCCCCTACAGCACCTGTAGACGGCGCTGCATCTCCTGTACAATCTCAGGCTTCCTCGCATACCGAGGAGGGGGACGCCACACAGACTGCCACTTTCGAGCGCGCCGAGATCGCTGACCTGCCGGAGTATAAGACCCTAACTCAAAAGTACCCGAACCTAGAGCGTTTGCTTTGGAACATCGCGGCAGCTACAGACCCTCCTACTAGCCACGGCGATAGTAATGAGAGGAACAATACACCGTCTGGATCGAATCAAGGCTACCGTAAAACGAACAAGCCTTGGACGAAGGATTTGGGTTATGAGAAAGGCATCGAAGTGCTTCGTCGGACTAGAGACAATCCTGGGGACGATAGAGACGCTCTCAGGGAGTATTGTGAACTTGTCCGACTTTACACGGCTAGAAGAGAAGCTGCCATTTCGGAGGCCAATATCCGACAGCAGCGAGCCCAAGAAAATGCCAAAGCTATTAAGGATCTCATCCGCGCCGAGAAAGCTGGTTAGGAACGTGATCAGGCTACTGATTCGGGATCACCGTAGTGAAGCAATGGCTACTATACCGCCTCGAAACATCATATTCCCCACACACACTATCCTACACACGAAGTAAAGGGTATTTCACCTGGTAAGTCTGATTATATTGTGATTACGATCGTATAATGGAAGTCAGATAAAAGTTCTTCATATGCATTCTCTAACCGTTATTAGACTAGTCTCGTTCATCGATGGCGAGCAAACAAGAATATTGTCTTGCTTATAAGCAACTTCAAACCTGTCATTTCAGCATGAACAGGACCAAATGACGTCTTCCCCTTTCTAAATTGGGGTCTTCGCATCTCTCACATCTCAACTTTGCGGATCTGTAATGTCAGAACAATGTACTGTCATCAAAATGCACCAGCATATCCACGCCATAAGATACCCATAGTCAACATCAAGAATGTCTTGACTACTTCCCTTACATACCTATCACTATCCTGTATTACAAATCCTGTCCTACCCACACTAGGCGACCAAACCAAAACGCAACGAATTACTATCGCTCCGCATTATAACTGCGGCCGAGGTATCGCCCAACAAATTTGTTCTGGTTCTACCAAATCTACTTATAACCCATTACACATCGTGGATTAAGTCATCATCAGCATGAGTATCTCCACCTTTCCGCTCTCAACTCTCGGAGTCTATAGTTTTCGGGTACCGAGTCTAACGGGTGGTCTGGGTCGAAACTCCTCCATGCCGTAATCCTGTTCATAACCGGCCTCCTAATCTACTTCCCCCAGTCAATACTCCCGACTAAAACTATCATTGCGGCGGACGCGGAGACTCAGACTACAGAGACCACAATCTGTTATTTGGAGTTCTAGCATTGGCCAATGGGTACTCTAAAATTTCAGATAGTGCTAGCTAGTTAATACTACCAAGGTGACACCTTAGTTACTCTTGATCTCTATTCCCTTGTAAAAAGTGATGTCAATTCAGATTGCCCCCCTTTTTCTAAAACCTTGGAAATTATGGTAGAAAACCCGTGCATATAGTACAGGATGAATTGACAACTTGATCGCCTTGCATGAAAACTATTCTAGCCTCACAATTTTCCAAATATGTTTCGAGTTAGACGTATATATGACATTACCCTCAAATATCACCTTTAAGGGGCTCTATATATGAATTCGGTCTCAAGAGTCGTGTCTTTAGGTTTCTTTGGTGTGATCCGGTAGATTCCCTTTTCCTTCATGTGCGAACGCTATCTATTCAGACCTCCATTGGACAAAGAATAGAACTTACCATTAATCTCCTATTTGACCAAATGTTATGGGAAACCACAAACTGCTCTTGCTGTGACTCTGGTTCCAATGTCGGAGAAATACAGCCCATATAGCATATTAGTTACATTGTCCTTACTGCGTGATATGAGTGTTAACATGTACCTAACGTGAACGACCGTTCAGGGGCTGATGATGAGACACGTATTCGCAAACTGACAAGCCACTTAGACCAAACGACAAAACCGAACGGGTGTCTTCCATATATACAGGAGCTTTGCATAACCGGTGCCCAGGTGTTTCTCCGCATACGTGTAGAGCTACGACGAACTCGCGTTTGAGGCGCCGATCACGATGGCTTCAAGAGGTATCCAAGGTATCTATGTACGCTGCCGACTTTGTAGTACATACCTATGTACAATATGACACACCCCATGAGCATGGACACCTTCTGTTTGTTGATTCTATTTTCCCACAAACAGACCTTGGGATTTTCATTTCTTGAAATTTCCATCCACACACAATTTTAAGTAGAAGTCATACCATCTTGAACCCAATCTATCTCGAAAGAGTAGATAATCATGGCACACCACTCAATCACGCGAATGGCGTGCGCCAACTGGAAGGATGGAGAGAAAACCTGCCCCAAGGAGGGCACGTCTGCTTGTGGCAGCTGCAGGCTGGTTGTGGTAAGTAAAGACACGTTCCAAAATTGAGGCGATAAACTCTGACGATCATCAACTTCAAAGTACTGCGGTCGCGACTGTCAGAAGGAGCACTGGGGCGAGCATAAGAAAGACTGTAATTCCCCGCTGAAGAAATGGGACTGGCGTCCGACTTGGGATCGAGAAGATCGAGACCCCGTGTGGGCTCACGGAGAGGCGGCCACTAACATTCACAACCCCTTCGGACTGGAGAGGCACCTATGGGGAAACACTCCGGCGATGGATGTGTTGGCGCTCCAGAAGAACGAGGGCTTGGGTTACGACAAGGATCTAACTCTCCTGTTCGCAGGTAAGTGTTAAGATGACACGTTTTATCTCCATAGCGAGCCACTGACAAGGCACAGCATCCGGCGACCTGCGAAACATGGTCAAGACCATTCAGAACCTGCCTGACAAGTTTAAGAAACAGGTCAACATCACCCTGAATGACAGGGACTTGGGCGTCGTGGCAAGAAACGCCGTGATGCTGCTCCTTGTGCTGTTCACGCTGGAGGATCAATCTGATCAAACTGACATTGCGAGTCTAGCTGAAACTTTCATGCATGTCTGGTATTCTTTCATGATCCCAGGAGAAACCATAGCCCAGCTCAACTCCAAAGTGAAGGTACAAATCCAAGAAGTATGTGAGCAAATCGCCGAGAAGAAGGCGGACGCCCTGCTGGCCAAGACGTGGCAGTTCAAGTCTGGATGTACTCTCCGTCTCGTCCTCAAGAAGAAGGACTGGGATCAGGCACTAGCGTTCCTCGAGCTCCCGGATCACCTCGACCGAGACAAGGCTGTGGAGAAGCGCCACGCTGTAGTGCTAGCACCCGAGCGACTAGACTATCGAGAACGTGGATACTTTAAGGACGCCTCGTTGCCGATGCGTGTAGCCAAGAGGCGATTCCATGAGGACGGCATGCTCCTCCCGTTTGGGAACTCGCGTGCCGGTTTCGACCACGTCAACCCGTGAGTATCTACCCACATCTCATCATCCGCATTCCGTTACGGACCCCCGAGTCTAACGTATAATAGGACCTTATTCCAAGGGGGAGACATCTGGCTACTGGATGATAGGGCTGATCCTTTAACCGGCTGGCCTATTAAGGAGGTCAAAGCAACCCCATTCGTTGCCGCCGAGGATGCGTACGGAAGGCTGCTCTTCCATCTGCGTCGTGTCTTCAGCGCTTTCATCCGACGACTCGCCACTGGAAAGTTTCACTTCGAATTCTTCAACGTCGACGCCAAGGACCTAGGCACGCACGTAAAGAATGGTACATGTGATCGAGTCGAGGTAAGCCAAAACAAGCGCACCACATGCAACCACATCTCATTAAAAACAACCGCTAACACACACACACATATATAGTCGTCCAACATTACGGACATCTGCTGGCTAGGAACGCGTCCGACCTTGCAGAGTCTATCTCCCCTCCTCAAGCCGCCGCATCAGAACCGCCACGCGACGCTCATCACCATCTACCAGAACGCCGTCCTGGAGATAATCAATCAAGAGGACCAGAACAAGATCTTGGATATCTCCGAGTGCATCTTGTACCTGACCAAGACGCGCGTCGCCGACCTCACGACCAAGCCGCAGGGCGCAGAACAGTACCGCATCTGGGACTCGCGCAACCTGTTCTTCGAGGTCGACAATCTCTTCAAGAAGTGCGTAGACACCCCCCACCCCCCGGATCTAATCATGATCGTTTACGAAAGTTGATGCTAACCGATCGCGTGTGACAGGTACATGGGCATAATCAAGTTCGACCAGATCGGAACCGCCTTCGACGTCGCCATGAAAGCGAAGAACACCATCGGTGACCCTTGGCCTACACGACTCAAGCTCCGCATGGGCCAGCCTGGCGCCCAGGAGGAGTTCGACGGCATTCTAGGATCGTGTTGGACCGGGCTTGAGCGATACGTCGAGTGGAAGCGAACGAAATGATGCACTAGCAATCGTCTGGTGAGGCAATACGGTAGATAGCTGGCTGCGTGTGCTATGGAGGCAAATTCTCGACGGTGGTAAGCTGGGGGATGGTGGAATTAAGGGGACGCTATTACGCATACTGGAGTTGAGGCCTGGCTATCTGGCACCGTTTGCTTATTAGGAACCATCGCAGGTCATTCATTGCCAAGACCTTACATCGAGACGCACATCACGGATGTTGCTAATGAAATAAAATGAAAATTAAAAAAAAAAAACCCTTGAATGTGACAAATCAAAAATGTGACTTATTCCTCTTGATAATAACCTGCATCGAAAAAAAAAAGTTGCAAACGGCCGTAATCGAAATTTTCTGAAAAGATATTAGAAAAAAAAGCAAAAATATAACGACGCAGGCCTGATTCGAACAGACGCTCCCGAAGGAACAAGATTCGCTACTCAGAATATTTTACAATTAAGAGTTCTAGTCTTGCGCGATAACCACTCCGCCACTGCGCCTTGTGTTATTGATTCGCTGATGGGAATTGGGTTTGTAACATTGGTATCTATACTGGATCCAAGTTTGTGACCCCCGGTCTTCTGCATGAGTGGTCCCGGATAAGCCTGAAAGGCCATTTTGAAAGCTTCAACCTTGCCGGCATCACTAGAACTGTGTACTTTATGATACGATAATTCATTTCGATAGTTTTAGGTCTTTTTGAGGTTTCCAAGTGAAATAGCAATAAATGTTCAAAGGTTTAGGTTATCACTAATTTCAATATTATCTTCGACTCTATGATATCCTCGTTACACTTTGGTAAAGAAACATTTTACACAATATCTAAGTAGCACTTGACTTAACTAAGTGCGTACCTATTGGGGCCAGGAATGTAATTCAAGTAGAAGATATCGCAACAAGTAGGTATGTAATGTATATGTATAGATATGGATGTATGTATTGTCATTAATATTTACTCATTAGTATCGTAAAGTCCTCTACTACTTAACCTCGAATCCCCCTACCGCCTAAACTTCGTCAAGAATCCCAGCCTGAGAAACCTAGGCGACGAAGGGGACGTAAAACTATCATCCTGCTTCTCGCGTATCGCAGCCGCCTTCTCGTCCCGACTATGTCCATTCTTGATTAAGTTCCGATTTCCTAATCTCCCCTTTAGAGTCCACAAAGAGTCCGCTTTTCTAAGCAGCGGGTTCTTTGTCGCCGTCTTCGGCCTCGCATCAACCTCGTCACTCTGCGTCCAGTCGACACGGTGCTCGTTTACCGTCGCCGGGTCTACTATCAAGGTATCTTCCGATGATATCTCCTCGATGGGGAGTTCGATCGTCGCACATGGGTGAACCGCTGGTGTCTCATCCTCTAGGATGTTTCCGATGCTACTCCTCCTTCTTGATTTTATTTGGGTAAGTCCGATGACACTGTGTCGTCGATAATGGCCAGTCTCTTCCGAGACACCATGTCCGTCCGACACAGGACGTGGGGTTTGAAACTGGTTTCTCTCGTGGATTTTCTCCCGATGGCTGATCGCCCTTTCCAAAGCGCGATTCTGTTGCGCCGGAGTCATGCTTGCGTCGAGCTCGGCCCGGTCTGATAGTCGACCGTCGACGTGAAACTTGAGTGCTGTTTGGGATAAGCTATGCACGAGGTTTCTCTCGCGCATACTGCTGGCCGTCGCAGTCCTCTCGAACTGTGTGGCTGCCTCCTGTGGGATGTAGTGGGACGACGGGGCATTGGCTGCGGACTCCGTTGGAGTTGATTCTACCTTCGGAGGTTTCCGCCGTATTCTATCTTGGATGGACTTCGACATCGACCGCACCGCTTTTGCTTCTAATGGCTGGTCACTGCTTTCCTGCGAAGGTGAATCCGATGCCGTGATCCTGTTTATCGCCATCCTTGCTGCGAAACGTGTCTCGTTGGAATCTGGCTTCGTCGTTACTATCTTGAGTACGGCTGAACCTGGCTTCCCGGTCTTTGGCTGGCTTGTAGGGGTATCATGATCCTTGCTCCGTGTTGATCCCGTTTCTGCTAGTCTTTCTCTCCTCTTCTTCTCCCTTGACTCTTGTTCCGCGATGACCACATATAGCCGTCGACGCAAGTCATCAGGATCAAACGGCTGTGACTTGTGTTTATGTTGCTTCGCGATGTTCTGCCTGTAGGGGTCCGACTTAGCGGCAGCTTGCCTCATCGAACCTGTCGCTTGGCGCCCGTCTGTGGGACGACCTATGGTGAGCTGCATGGCGTCTCTATTCCTCTGCCCGGATAAGTTCGATGAGATGGAGTTGTAAGTCGTCCCAAAACTCTTAAGGACGTCAAACCCGTAACATCAGACGAAGTAACTTAAAGGCCGGAGTCGGTCACTCGTATAAGGTTTTCGTGAAAGAACGTAAAGTTGCGACGTGGTCTAATTCTCAACTTGTCATAAGTTCCAGTTCCTTATCTTCGTATATACCACCTCGCGCATGACCCGTTCTCATGAGACTCAAGCTTGTTCACGGAGCGGAAGCTAAGACAGCAGCGATGATCGATGTAAGACAGATTTGGCTAGGTAACAACCATACGACCAGACGGAGCGATCGCGAAACAAATAAGAGATTACCTTTCTCTCGCAACATCAAGGTTCTATAAAAAGTGAAAATAAATACCTACGCGTAGGTTACGTCGGCTGGAGACGGACGAGGCGATCCAGTTTCTGCCACAATAGGGAGGTCGAACCTTCTTAAATGAAAATCCGGGGCAAGGCACGCTGAATACGCCCATCTCGGCCAAGAGTACGTATGAAGCCTCTTTTTGGGTAACATGGGCACAGGGGCCCGTGAGTGGTAGGGAGCGGGAATGGTCAGTCACTTGACTATCGGGTGTCGTTAGCAAGCTATCAGAAGCTAAGTTAACCTTAGCTCCAAAGTAGAAGCGTAACACACTAACAAGTCCCGGCGACTGCGTGACCTTGGTACTCTTTGTTTCCCTGGCATCTTCTAGTGTACATCCTCCAGACTTCTCAAGGCTGGTAGGGTTGCGGAACCGAGACGCAGCCCTGGTGTCATAATTTACCCGTTTATGGATCTATGATGCACTGCAACGCTCCTCCGTGTCCTTCTGTTGTTCTCCCGTAGGAGCTAGAGGAGGCGGTCTGCTAGGATGATCATAGATATGGACACATGGTAGGCACGTATTTGAATTTGAACAGGAGGAGCTTTCATGGTGGATATGTGACATACCATACCTCCATACCTAGGCTGCTAGGTAGCAAATGGAGTAGCAAATGGAGTGGGAGGGGACAATGGTGGTTGAAATCCTTGTCACTATCCTGGTCGTACATAAACCCCAGCCTTTGTAGTAGACTCTGATCGCATATTGGTCCGTGCCGAACGGCTTATGCACGTACCCTAGTGGCTTTTCCCCAAGGGGAAGAGGAGGGAATTGAACCAGTATGGAGACAGGTAGAGCGCCTTCTCATTCCAAATTATGCGATCGAGGTAATATGCAGTCCTTGACGTAGTTATGCAACGTTTTGATCGGTATTCTTCCGCGAGCGCCTCGGTGTTTTTCATCTGCACCTCGTCCCACTTGAGAGTTAGGTATCTATACTTACATAGTAGGTATGGCACCGAGTATCGTGACCTAATGTCATGGATGTATGTTGTAGATACGATGTGGATCGATTCTAAATAGCTGTTCCGTAAACCGTACGGCTGATCTGTCAACAAGAGCGTATTCATCTTGGTAGCTATGGTGTCAGGCTATCATCATGTATGCAGCTGGAGAAATTCGAATTCAGAGAGTCCAACCGTGCTTACATGCGTACATGTATGCTTGGCCATCACCAATATATTTGCGTACCGTCTGGTCTCGCCCTCCGGCAGTTTAGGGTGATACGTCGAATCATACCAACATTCTGTAGGTTAGCATGCATAGATCCTGCTATAGATTAGCTAATGACTAAATCTATGCAACTTCGTAAATCAAATACCAATTAAAGGTTATACGGCTTTGAGGTATCAATGAGGAGTCTTCGACTACTTTCTCATTGGTGATTATACACGATTTGAGGGGGGATGGAGAGAGCTCGACTTTTAGGTAAACACGTAGCTCCTGTAAATCAACCACGCGAGCTGTCGATAAGCTATTGTAGGTAAAGCGCTGTTGACTAAGATAATAATTAAGTAATCCTTTTACTTCGACACTATTCCCTTTGGAAGTTAAGTACTGTACTGTACGAAGTATGAGGGAGGGGAATGAACATGAGACGACGCTATCGAAAGATAATTAATATTATTCAGAAAGAAACTTTAGGTTTGGAAGGACAAAGTTTCAGAGCCTCCCCTACCATAAACCCTGATCCTTGTGATAATAGGCAGGCAGGGTAATCCCGCCAGGAACAATTATCCCTGGAAATGTTATAGACCTTGTAAGAAGAGATGTATTCCAAGCCTTTGTTCGCACAGACTTCGAACTTTGAAGTTAGGCTATTAGAATTTAGTCTAGATACGGATCCGTACCACTTATTTTGTTTTTAGAGACAACGGATACGTGCAGGTGATAATTATACTTAGATACCTACTATGTAGGTAAGTATGTAGTCATGGCTTGTAGGTAATAAATATCGCATGCTTGAGCCGTCCGAAGGCTTGCATCTGGAAGCTTAATCGTACGAGATGGATGAGTTCCAAGGTTCGACGACGATCTGGCCAGAACAGATACCGCATGTACTATTAGGCCGAAAATGTTACACTATCTCCGAGTTGAAAACATCTATGGTGATACTGGTGATACCGTACAATGACAAATTCGGAGGTTTTAACCATCGTCGATCAGTAACTTTCGATCGACGGCCCGAGTGTTTGAGAGCTGGGGGTTCGGATGATACCGAGTACAGATATATATACCTACTATAATAGAAACCTAGAAGTAATAAAGTTGAAGCCATTGCTATATTAAACCCAGATCTAAGGATAGCAAGGTACGCGCGCTTGTTACCAAATCAGGGGTGATTATTGGAGTTTGTCTCATGGAGATAAATGAATAAAAAGGAAAATTTAGTCCATGGTGTTATTCCAAGCTGGTTCATAACAGTTTATTTGAAACATTGTAACAACCTCTATGTAGGGAAATGAATGAGGAGGGACAAAGAATTTTTTTGGTTTGAATTGGGGCTACCTTGCAAAAAGGAAAGAGATGTGAAAATTTACTGTCCGGCAACGCAAAATGAGATGGGGAATTCACGCTCTAAGCTATGTATATAGAGTAGGATACGATAAAAAGAAAATAATTCGGAACGGATTGTCATGCTGAACCTCAAAAATATGCTCTCGATCGGGGAATCGAACCCCGGCCACCTGCGAACTTGTTCATGACAAGCAGGTATCCTGACCACTAGACCAATCGAGATGAAGGTATCCTGAGGATACCGATTTCACTAGTGAGTTGTTGACTGTGCCGAATTAATACCCTATATACTAAAGTAGCAGCAAGTCGCAATTTTTTCGGAGGGGTGTTTCGTAGAACC